CAACAATAGGAGGCTGGGTAGACCGCAGAATAACCAGGACTTGAAGGGAACCTTCATGCAAAATTCAACATCAGCATACCTTGACACTAAAATGCAAATCTGAAAATTTAAGATATGGGAAAGGCATCCCATCAGTGAGTGAATGTGAAGATAGAGCAGGGGTTAAAAACCATCTATGACAGCAACACTACTGAAGTCTTGGGAGTGGGGTAAGAGAAACAAAGAGGCATAGAACGAGGTACTGGTAAGGGCAGTTATGTAAAGCAGAAGCAAAATTTGAGAAAGATTGTGTGGTTAAGACTCTCTAACAATACAAACAATTGTGTTCGGATTTGACATAAGGAAATTAATGGATCATCTTTGAGAGAGGCTTGCACAGATTGTTAGAGTTGTGAGAATGGCTACAGAACAGCCAGAAAAAGAAAGGAGTAGATAAGCCATGATGGAAAATACAGGAATAGCAGACACAAATGTATAGGTACAAATATTAAAAACATATAGTCACCATCATGCCACATATATTATAGAGCTCATGGGGTCTTCATTTCTCCTGAGTTCATATTGTGGTTTTAATCATTTATCACCAGCTTACTGACACAAAAACCAACAAATCTACTATTTCCCAGTTCTGAAAGCCAGGAGTCCGACATGGGTTTCACTGAATTTACTCAAGACGTCAATGGGATTGGTGTCATCTTGAAGTTGTAGGCGAAATCCATTTGCATGCAAAGTCACTTTCACCATGCAAGGTTACATTCAGTGTCCAGAGGCCAGGATGTGGACATCTGTGGGGAGCCTTTATTCTACTAGCTACAAAAGTCTTAAGTTCAAAATATCAGAGGCAGTTTTAAATTACCTTCCCTTGATTTTATATGGTAGTTTAACTTTGGGTGAAATAATACATGTGAGATTGAACTGATAACCAGAAAGTGAAAATAACAGTTTTCATGTAGAGTTTTTACATAACTTCATTGTTTTCTGCTAAAAAGCCTTCAAATTACATGTTGAAATTATGAGACTCCATTAAAGGTGAGAAGCAATAACAATAAGCTTGTGATTTTCTGCTGATAGCATTATTTTGATGAGCCTATTTTTACTGAAACTATATTTTATATTAAAATTACTCCTAGCAGCATTTTAAACCATTATTGATGTACATCAATGAATTCTCAATATAAAAATGTCTATTAAAGAGGCTTCAAAATAAAGATTTTCCCTTTTGATACATTTATAATGAATATGTGTGTAACCCAACAACCTAGATATATTTGAATTCCTTGGTGTATTCAATCTATAGTTTTTTCTCTAAATTTATTTTTTAAAGTACAATGGAAACTGAAATAATATATATAAAAATTCAGTATAGTTGGTGAACCATGATAAATAGATCTTCAGTAAGTTTTTGGTCTAATCCAAAATAAACTCCATGATATTTGATCATTAATATTGAACTATGTTCCTATAAATACTAAAAATGAATAATACTGTGGATATTATATCTTAGTACATTTGCCAGATTTTAAATATTTGCTCACTCTACACAGGGAAATAAAATGTTTAAGATGAGCATTTTGTTCTGATAGCTCCATTTATTCAAAATAGGTATTTTTCACATTCTTGAATAGTCAGTCAATTGTTCTCATGAGTATATAAAAAAAAAGAATATGAAGGCTTTTTATGCTGTTTAAAGGTGCCAGTAACCTATGAGGAAAATTCTGTTAATTTCATTATATTTGATACACTATAATCAGAATTACGCTATTCACAAAGTAACACAAACGTGCAGGACAGTCGTTGCTGATGAAATAAAGCACAAAATAATGTTTGCAGTGAGTTGAAATCACCTTCAAGCTGCACTGTGTTCCTTTGTGCTTATTAAAGAATATTCCTCTGCATTCACTGTCTCATTTCTTTTTGTGAATTGATTAAATTGGCTCTGTCTTATGTAATTTAAGAGACTGTTCTGTAGCTTTCTGAGAAACTATCACAGAAATTCAACTGGGGGAATAAGTTACCAGGTTCAAGATAAAGGGTCGCTGTAGTCGTTGTCTTGCTTCCATGAATACATAGGCTTGTGTTCGTGCATGGCAGGAGTTTAACCAGGTCAACAGAGGTAGTTGTTTTTAAACCAACCGCTTTGAAAACTGCAAGAAAATATGTCTTAGGATATTGAGTTATCTCAGCTTTGACACAGCATTTCTTCAGGGGAAACCAGTATGAGAAGTTCTATTTCTATATGTCTTTAGATTAATATCTAATGTGCAGTCAACGACTGAAATAATTTCCATAGTGAATATTCTGTGCTATGCAGCTAAATGAAGAGGTAGAGTGAGCTTAGTGGGTTTTTTCAAGTTTGAAGAGAGATCAATTTTCAAGTGTTTTTTGCATTATCACAGTAATCTGAGATTGTGTTCAGTAGTTATTGTTACTAATGATGTTTATGTGACTAGAAGGAAAAAACACTTTTTCTTATCATTTCAGTGCCTTGTATTTTTTTGTTACCATAAACAAATATAATTGCTTCTTCTGATTAACCTCCTTAAGTGTGATTTGGATCATGTATAATTCCTTTGCAGTAAAAGGGAAATGCCAAATATTTTCAGGGGACCTTACTTTTCCAAAAGCACATGATATAGGATATGCCATTTAAAAAAAAATTAGGGGCTGGCACTGTGGCATATCAAGTAAGGCCTGCAGTACTGGCATCTCCCATGCACACTGATTCAAGTCCCAGCTGCTCCACTTTTGATCCAGTTCCCTGTTAATGTGCCTGGGAACACAGTGGAGTATGGCCCAAGTACTTGGATCCCTGCACTGACCTGGAAGACCTGGAAAAAGCTGCTGGTTTCTGAGCAGCCCAATGCTTGCCATTGTGGCCATTTGGGGAGTGGACCAGTAGATGGAAGGCCTTTCTCTCTCTCTCTCTTTTTCTGTCTTTAAACTCTACTTTACAAATAAATGAATCTGAAAATATATATATATCTTTTCATATATATAAAACATTTTAACTTGTAACTTACATACAATGATAATGTGAAAGTAGATGCATTCCAGAACATTTAAGGCTTTCTTAGGATTTTATTTATTTTTATTGAAAAGTCAGAGGAGAGGAGAAATGGACAGAAAGATCTTCCATCTGCTGATTTACTCACCAAGTGACCACAATGACCAGAGCTGAGCTGATCTGAAACCAGGAGCCAGGAGCTTCTTCCAGGTATCCTACACATGTGCAGGGTCCCAAGGCTTTAAGCCGTACTTGTCTACTTTCCCAGGCCACAGCAGAGAGCTGGATGGGAAGTGAAGCAACCAGGTTAGGAACCCATGCCCACATGGAATTCCAGTGCATGCAAGATGAGGACTTTAGCCACTAGGCTAACACATCAGGCTCCTAAGGATATTTTTTTTAAGTTCATGTAAAATGAAATGAAAATTAAGTACACTTATGTCCAGAATAAAATTAAAATTCATGTGCAGTTTTTTTCATAATAAATACTTTAAATGAACTTTATGAAGTACTCATATTTATATGTTTTGTTATTTCTTTTTTTAAATGTATTATATATTTGTTTACTTATTTTTGAAAGGCAGATAAGAAGTGACAGAGGGGCGGTAGGAGATGTCTTCCACCTGCTGTTTCATCCTCCAAACCATCTGAGTTTCCTAGTTCAATGGCAGGAACCCAAGTACTTTGGCCATTATGCACATTAGAAGTGCTGGAGCAGCCTTGGCCCCAACCAGGCACTCTGAACTGGGACCCGGACATCCTGAGCAGCAGCTCAACCCTATGTCATGTAACGCCTTCCTGTTTCATCATTGGAAGCAGAGCCTGTAGTTCCAAAGCTGCTTTTCTAAAATTAAACTCTTCTTCTTGAGTCTGCTAGTGCCTTCACTGAACTCATCCCAGTTTATCTCTTTATATTCTTTCTTGTTTGTGTACTGAATGTCCTTAGATGATGAACTCTGTGCATTACTCATCATATTTAGCATTCACCTTGATTATAAATAAATAACTGCTAGCATTGAACTCTTTCTGTGTGCTGGATGCCATTTTAAGTTTGCTTCTGTGTTAATTTTTTGTATCCTCACAACAAACAAAATGGGCACCCCTATAATCTTCCTATTTAAAAGAGGAAACAAACATGACAATTGCATAATCTGACCAAAGAATCACAGCCTATACCCAGCTTCACTAGTTTTGATCAATATATGATGCATAAATGTACCAAAACATAGGCTGTACTCCATAAATATAAATAAAGCTTGTCTATCAAAAATGGAAGAAATACCTGCTCACCTCGTGGACCCCACCTTGTGGACCCCATGCTATCTCTGCAGGCCCTGAGTGAGTTTTTCTCCTCGTGATGGACTTTAAGAGAACCACATACTTCTTCCCAGCCTCCAGGACCATTGTGATTTTACATCTATGTTTCTGTTTGTGTGATTAACGTTTTTCCCTCCCCCATGCCAGAATAGTAATACAGCTCCTAGTTTTTGATGTAATATTAGCAGCTAATATCAACTAAGTCTTTGCCCACCTATGTATCATAGTTTTAAGTCACCAAAGGACTGTGTGTGATCTTGACTAGTTTACTACTACTTTGAAGGTGAGGAAGCTAAGGGAGAGAAAAAAAAATGAATGACTTGCCCAAGATTACACAGCTAATGATAGAGGAGGATTTAAATTCAAAGGTCAAACTCTACATTGATGGCATAAATGAATGAAAGAATACAATCGTATAGATCTAGACTGGAGAATCCAAATAGTGACTGGAAGGAGATGACATCTGACACTTATGGAAGGGCACAAGGGAAGATATAGATACAATAGTCCAAGTGGAAGAAACAACGATGAGAAAGTATCATACAATTAAATGCCTGCAGCGTAATAGGTGCCCAATAAATACACAAGAAGGAATGACTAGCCTATCGCCTCCAGCTTACAGGGTTTTGTGCATGCGATGTTTTAAGTTAATGCTGTGTCTCTTTTTTTTCTCTTTCAGTGCCACCATGGGCCTTAATTGCCATAGCCATAGTTGCAGTTCTCTTAGTCTTGACCTGCTGCTTTTGTATCTGTAAGAAATGTTTGTTCAAAAAGAAAAACAAGAAGAAGGGAAAGGAAAAGGGAGGAAAGAACGCCATTAACATGAAAGATGTGAAAGACTTAGGGAAGACCATGAAAGATCAGGTAATGTACTCATTCCATACTTGTTCTTAATTTGTTGAAATTATTTCTTATTTTATGCCCATTAGAAATATTGACAACTTCTGGACATATTTTTGTTGGAGAGATACTTTGTAATCCTTTTGTCCTCATGCCGAGGTCCAGCTCAAGGCACCCAGCTTAGAAGGAAGCCTCAGCATTTGATCACTTCTCTTCCATCAGTTTTCATGGTATGCAGGGTTAGGAAAACAACATGTCTGTCTTCAGCAGATCTCACTAACTTCTCCAAAATTCATAGTCACTGTTTAATTCCGACTTTTATATCTGTACATCGAGCCTGATGAAAGCATCCACCCAGCTCAGTAATTATTTCTCAGGAATAATGAGTTATACGGGGGATGAGAGATACACATTTGCACCAGTCCTAATGAATAGGATGGATCTGAAGGCAAAATTCTTATGCTCTCACTTAAGGACAATTAAAACTGTAATGCTAGCTACAATAATCCATCTGGTTAATTCTCTCCCCAAATCTGACGGAGCTGTTTGGAAATCCTTTATGTTACAGCATAATTTTGAACTAAATTAATGGAAGAATTTAGTACTAGGTAAAGTTTGCTATTGATGATAATAATTTCTAAATGCCTGTTTATTTACTAGAATGATACCAACTATCTCTCAAACTGTTTAATTCATATAAAAATATAAATATAGAGGTTTTCATGGGAACCACACTATTATCAGTGATTCCCATTGAATAATTAAAGCCTTATTTGTTCACCAAAAAAGATACATACACAGGCAGTTATATGTGAATTCAAATTACATGTGAATTAAGAACAATTCAATCAACTGTCAGTAGACATTTTGATTTTGAGAATACTTCAAAAACTTCATGAAAAATGCAGCAGTTGGGATGCCATGTGGATGACCAGATTCCACATCCAATTGTTTGGGGTTTAGTCCCAGCCTGGCTTCCGAGTTCGTCTTCTTGCTGACAATGCATATTTGGCAACAGTGGGTGATGGTTCAAGTAATTGGGTCCTTGCCACCCACAGGTGAGTCCCAGAATGAACCAGTGGATTTAGGATATCTCTCTCTCTCTCTTTCTTCCCCTCAATTCTTCTCTCCCCCTCTCTCCTCTCCTTTCCTCTTCTCTTCGCTGATCTTCCTTCTCCTTTCTTTCCTCCCTTCTTCTCCCTCCCTCTTCTCCTTACCTCTCTTCCCCCTCCTGTCTTTCTTCTTCTCCTCCTCTCTCTTTCCCTCTTCCTCCTTTTTCTCCTTCTCTCATCTTCTCTCCCTCCTTCTCACTCCCTTTCTCCTTTCTCCCTCTTTTCTATGTGCGTATGTATGCACATGCATTGAACTTCCTTTTTTAAAAATTTATTTGAAAGAGCTGCAATGAGAGAGGGATTACAACTTCCATCTTCTGGTTCACTTTGCAAATGGCACAATGGCTGGGGCTGAGCCAGAAACTCTATCTGGATCTCCCACATAAGTGGCAGAAGCTCAAGTACTTGGACCATATTCCATTGCATTTCTAGGATTATTAGCAGGGATCCACACAGAAGTGGAGCAGCCTGGACTCAAACTTGTACTCGTGTGGGATGCTGGTGTCACAAGTGGCAACTCAACCTGCTGAATCATATTGCCAACCTCTCTGCCTTTGGAATAGAAATGAGAAAATAAATTCATTTTTGTGCAAGTTTTTTGAAATTGATGAATAGTGATTTTTTTCAATGCACTTTTCTCATGGATTTGTGGAGATGTCTCATGTATGTCAATTTCAAACATTTTGTACCAAAATAAACTTATCTTTTCATTCCATTTTCCATGAACACTTTGATGTACCTCATAATTGCAGTCTTGTAATGGACCACATAATCATGACTTGAAGCCCCTTCCCAGACTGGGAAGTGTCTTCCTAAAGACACTGTGGTATCTATTGGCAACAATGGTACAAGGATCGTTTGGGAGGTAGGATCTATCATGAATGTCATACCTGTGTTTGTGCTCAGTGAGTTTTGGTCTGAGCTCAAGGAAACATGGTGTCAAAGGCTCTGACAGTTTCTACTCCATCCTAAGAGCCCATGTGAAAATGTTACCCTGGATTCTACTAGGGATTTTTCTCTTCATGTGATCCTTATATAGAAATTGAAATTGTAAGTCCTGTCTTGCATTAGCTCAACATTTTCTATATTAAGCAGGACTATATAATGAGTCCATTCAGTAAATCATTGAGAAAGAATAAAATGAAAACAAAGCTCCTCGATGGACACAGACTAGTTAGTACATATATTTTCAGCTCTAAACATAAAAGCAGTTCATTTGAAAATGCAGTACTATCATTTTCATAATGACCCAGAAAAATCAAATGTAGTTTCCCTAAAATGAACAATTAAAAGCACATAGCTATGCCATTTCTTGCTAGGACAAGAAATCTATATTTTTACTTATGTAATTTGTTCTGTATGGTGTAAAATTGTAACCTATAGCATAGCAGTGTTATTCATTGCCCTTGTTAAGACCTGAATAAATGACCAAGATCTCAAATTGAACAGAAAATTGATGGGAGTTCATTTTTCATTAATCATCTATTGCTTTGGATGTAGAGAGGTAGAAAAAATGACTCAAGTTAGGCTGTACTGAGGAATGAGTGTTTATTCACAGTAATACACTGATTTTACAAAGAACTTAGAATTTTCTACCAGTCCACGAAAGTGGTCTTCAGTAGTTTTGAGTAAGTCAGTAACTGTGTAGGACTTTAACCTAGGTCTTATTTTTAAATTATCAACAACTAAATAAAAATGTTCAGGCTGGAACACAATTTGGACAAGTAAAAATAGAATCTAGTGGTAAACATTTATATAACTACTTTTCCAGTCACAGAGAGTAGGTAATAATAGGTATCCTTTTATGAAGAAAGAGGCTAAAGAAGCAAAATAGAACCAGTAGATTTTAAGATTATTAACAGGTCACCCAAAGTCAAAGCAACATAAATGCAAACTAAAATTGATGCATAGCTTAGTGGTCAAAACAGTGTGAGCAGAATATGGAATTAAAGACCAAAAAAAGTGGTTTATACCTCTCACCAAAACAGCACAGATGTGAGAGGCATTTTAGACATGTTTTGTTAACATATGGTCTAAAGCCATCGGTAAGTTTTGGCCATATTAAGGTCACAGAAATTCAACTGTATGGCTACCTGCCTCTCTAGAAAGGTTTTATACCCTAAAAAGCTATTAAAATATTCTTCAGTGACTATGAAAAGCAAAGGTCGCCTCTTTTATTTTTTTGAAAAGAGTATGTGAGCAGTTCTTTTCTATGCCCTAGAGCTTGATAACACTCAAATGGAGAGGGCAGCACTCGTCATGAAGTCATTTCTCCATGGGTTTCACCAATGTGTGTGGATATTTTAATTTTTTGCCTCTTCCTTCTATGTCCTCCTTATCTGTGTTGTGTCTCATGACTGTTCGGGACTGTCCCTTGCGGTAGGTTTCCTCTGCTACCTAGACTTCCCTAGTCCACGCACAGATCCATTTAGTGGCCTGGCAACAGGGGCTCCACAGCTGAGGGCTTACCATTCTGACACACACCAAGAGGCTGAACTAAATTGATTTGTTTAAGACACGGTATTCTCCACTTTAAATGTTGCTGCCATCAGTTAAGTATAGTGGTACTAGAAAGCTCGAGTTCTAAACCAATGGACCCAGAAGGGAAATCTTATCCAATGTGTTAAGTTTTTAGTGGGCCTCATAAAATTGAATCTGAACAATGTAACTTCCAGTGAACAAATGCTCCTTCTACCAGCTGTGAATGTCAAAGCAAACCACAGGACTTTAAGGTCTGATGTTTGTAGCACAGATTTTTCTTTTGCAATGTATCAAACCCCAGACCTGCTGGATTTACAAGATTTCTCTACCCAATTTTGTTCCATGGGGGGAAGAATATTGCTCTCGAGTTATTATAATGGCTCCTGATTTAATAGGTCTGCATTTAATGTGGATAGTACAGAAAATGTCTTGCTTAAGCTCAGCCTTTGGGACAGGCATAGACTTAATCACTTCAGTGATGAACAGTGGCAGTGAGAAATGATCAAAAATTTAGCCTTATTTCATGCAGAATAATTGCAGAGACAGTCCTGCACCTTCTATTAGGGCAAAAACCACTTAGGGAGAAGCAGGTTTAATATCTCAGCTATTTCAAATTGCATGGGGTTGAAACATGATATATAAATTGTCACTTCTGAATGAGACCTTTGAAAAGGTACTTTAAGCCATAATCTTTTTTATTGTGATGATGGAGACACATGCAGATTTTTCAGGCAGAAGTACACATTATATGGTTTGCTATTATTTCAAATAATTATATCTTACAGGGTGGTGAATTACCGAAGCTGCAGTTTTCTAAGCACATCCTTTATGAGTATAAATGAAAAACCTATATATGGCTAAGATTTGGCAAAGTGGTTTCACTGGCTAAAATCCACTCATTAGACTTGATTTACTTTTCTTGTTTCTACACTAGCTCATACTGCCTTTAGTGACCTACATACCTCTAAAAAATTAATGTGTAACTCGCTGTATATGCCTGAGAAATCCATGTGGCACAAATGTGGATGTATCTAACCATTGTTCAGCTCCGTGTTTAAGGTCTTCTCAGCTAAATGATGCATCCAACTCTCAATATTTTAGGATTGGCTTGGGAGCTGCTGGAGTGGAGCCAAACTGAAAAAAATCCTGTGACTTTAGGGATAGCAGGTGTCATGGTGAAGTCCTGCTGAGGAGTCGCAGGGTCAGAGAGGTAGCAAGCAGTTTGTCTTCTGAGAATGATCAGCAGCAAAAAGACCACAAGTCCAGGGATGGAAAGTGATAGAATAATAGTGTGAGGATTGTGCCAGCTATTTACATCCTCGTTATACTTGCATTTCCGTTCTGTAAGAATTCTGAGATTTGACTTGGGAGCTAACAAGTCAAACTCCTTCACTTTGCCAGATGCACAAATGTAGTATACTCTATCACTTGTTCATCCTTCCTTGATTCCCATACGATTCTACAGCAACATACACAGAGAAAACTATGAAAATTCCATAGCAAAGCACTATGAAACAATATCTGCTACTTGTAGCAATCACCACAAAAAGACTGAGAGCATTAAAGCATAAAGAACCTCTACAAATCAACCAGAAAAGGGGAAACAACACAATGGAAAAAATAGCAAATGACACACACAGCTCCCAAAAGAAAAAAAAACTAAAAAGACACAGATTTGTAGTTTTGCCAACCCCACTAGTAGTTGTGGAAATTCAACACTTCATGATTTTTAAAATGATCATTCTCAACTGGAATGAAGATTTCTGATTAACCGTTCTGTTTATTTAAAGCAGTAAGAACACACATGTAAAAAAAATTTCAAATACTTGATATTTTAGCAAACCTTTTATATTAAGTATGTTGATGTTTTAAAGGAGGAGCATTTGAATGTGTTTATGAGATGATGAGCTTTCTAGTATTTCCATTTATACTACACTTAACTCTTGGCTTCTGAAGAATATGCTATTGATCAGATGAAGTTTTGAGAGGTCAATACTGTGGTTTACGTTCAATAATGCCAAATGAGTTTCTAATGCCAAATTTCTTGACAAAATTGCAAACATAACTCATCCTTTGATATCAAATAGAATGTCCAATCAATTTAATTCAGCCTAGCTTTTTGTGGAGCTGCGATGAAAATGAAATGGTAAATTTCAACTGGAAGCGGGATAAATTTTCTCTACACATGCATTTGCTGGTAGCATGTTCTTTCCTTTTTTTCCTTAACTATTTGAAATGTATTTGAGAAACAAGGGAAAGTAAAATTTCTGAAGCTAATTCACTCAGTTATCTTTTTCTTAGACAATAAGACAGCAAAATTCATGCATTTCATATAAATGATTCCACTGCATGTAGCAACGGCATTTTACATGATGCTGAGTATCTCTGTTAACCTCAAGAATGTGAAACCCAGCCTGGTCTTCAGCATGTTTATCACACATACTTCCGAAAGAAGCAGTGTTAGCAGAGCCAAATATAATACCAGGCTGACATTTTTTTTTTGCAACAATTGTATATTTTGTGCTTGCAAGATACTGAGGGGCTTCTTCCATTGCTTCCATGTTGCTTGCTGGGGGTGGGGGGTAGAAAATTCCGTGCACAAATGGAATTTTAAAAATACGTTAGCCACAGATGTGAATGTATGTCAGACAGAGTCCCAGCATCTTGGTGCCTGCTTCTTACAGCTTGGAAGTATAATAAGAGGCCCAATTTAGTTTGGATTGTGATGAAAATTCACTGCAACTCACATGCAATCCATTTCTTACTCACAGGCCCTGAAGGATGATGATGCTGAAACTGGATTGACCGATGGAGAAGAAAAAGAAGAACCTAAAGAGGAGGAGAAACTGGGAAAGCTTCAGTATTCACTGGACTATGATTTCCAGAACAACCAGGTGTGAGGGGGAGCTTTCTTGTAATTCCATTACATTGTCTGAAACTACTAAGTAGAAACTGAAGCAAGATACTTCTTAAAATATTTCATGGACTGCAAGAGGGAAATGCAATTAGCAAAGCTATTGATGAAATAATGTCTAAGTACAGGCAGTCCCGTACTTGCTTATTTAACTTCTGGTAATTAGAATTCACAGTATTCCACCGATCACATCAACTTATGGCATTTGTGGCAGGCAGGCAGAATACAAATTAACTTGAAACCAGCAGGCTGCCCTCAGAGCTCCAGGCAGTCTTGCCCCAGCAGGTCCCTCAACCTGAGCTGAATAGCCAGTCACTCTGAGCCTTTGTGGATTTTAACCCAACAGCACTAAAGCTAAGGATTTTGAGTTGGGTCATCATTTGTGTCACGGTTTTAAGATCATTTAACAGCTTGATAATCATCAAAGATGGTCTATGAATTTTAAAGGCAAGAGGGCCTTAGATAATATCATGATACTAGATAAAACTACAGATGGTAATTAATGCAATTCTACAGAAGTAGAAAGACCAGCAATTTGATTTCTGGTGTCTCTAAAGAGAAAATAAAAAATAGGCATTCCTATTTCAACATCTCAAAAAATGGTGATGTGTGACACAAGTGAATGATATTAGCTATCTTTTATTGATTGCCTATTAGCTAAGATAATGGTGGGAAAAAAAACTCACTACACCCAAAGATGTAGGAACCACTATTCTAAGATATCCTTTTGCCTTTTGAATTAAGGAAATATGAAAGATATGTAAGAATCAGTGAAACTGTCTGAAAACAGATTATTAAGAATGTTTTGGACGTGAAAAGTAAAAATGTATATACCTTGTAATATAAAAATTACATTTATTATAGTCCAGGTTAGTTATCCCATAATTCCGTATTTCATATTGTTTCCTAGAAATAGGTTTATAAGTATGATTTCATAGAAGTTTATAGATACAATCTATAGTTAATTAAGATAGCATTTGAGGCTGTTTCTATCACTTCTGCCAAGTTTTGAGCATTTGGGGCCTGGTTAGGAGAAAGATGTGCCATTCACATGTTCTGGAAAGGCTAAGATTACCGTATATATGATATACTTTCCAGCAGTTTATATTTACATTCAATTTTTTCCAGTTTATTCTCAGATTTTGTTAATAGAAGTCTAGGGGGTAGAGTCAAAATTTTGAAATTTCCAAGATCACTTTAATTACATAATGCTGTAAAGTAGCAACTTGAAGACTATAATTTCACTGAATTTTAGGGGGAAAAATCCTGCTGGAGTAAATCCAGCATACGAATGTATTTATTGATCCTTCTCTGGCCAACATAGAAGCTAGAAAGGCATTTTGTTGTAAGAATTTACAAGATCTCACCTGATGAATTTTTTAGAATACTGAGCATTGAGCTTTACAAAATGCTGTCATAGCTAATTTGTTTTATAAAATGAATCCTAGGAATCAAAGAAGATAAATTCTAAGGAACTTTGTAGACAAGACAGTAGCCAAATATTCCTGTTGGTTTAGCAAAGGTAAAAAAAAAAAACATCACCCTAAAACACTCAATTGCTGGACTACATAGCTACAAATGTGAAATTTTTTGTTAGTACAAAGTAGAGATGGAAGTAGCTCTACCCTTCATTAACAAATCACTCCAAAAGCTCTAACATAAATTATTGAGTTGTAAATAGGTATAGCAATCTCTAGTGTAGAGCTGCTCAGACAGCAAACTGATAGTTAAAATTGAGAATACGGAAATCGAATTGTGCTCTTCACATCGCCACAGAAAGGCAGTAGCAAATATGACTTCAGCAAAGCAAGAGACAGACTGTTTGCTTTGCTGATCATGTCTTTATAATCTGATGCCTCTTTTAGCTCTCCTCGGACCATCTGTCCGTACTTTGCATAGCCACAATCCAGCATTCACTGCTATTCTATGAGACCACAAAAAAGATATTAAAGTTTTAGACACCAAACAATATAGCCACTCGAGCTATTGATTCAGCTTAAAAACAGAGTCAGCTTATCAAAATGCACTTAAGAATTTGATAGATCAGTTTTATAGAAAATAGGCGTGTCTTTAAGGAGATGCATAGTTGTTTATGGTGGGATGACTGTGTTGCGTCTGAGGAGACTGTAAAGTACCTAAAATAACAGGGTGTTTACTTTTGTTTTCTGTGTGGATCTAAGCCAGACAGTGGACACAAAATCTCTGATGACACACTTAGAAGCAAAATTTACTCACATTGTTTATTTTGGTATTTTTAATATATTCTTAAAAATATTCTAAGGTGGCTTGGAACTGTATTTCTGAGAAAACAGGAGGAAGGAAATGCAGAAACTGCTGCATTGGGGGAAAAAAATCCAAAAAAAATGCTTACATACTGCAAAAAGAAAAAAAGATCTCTTTTTCCTCTATATGAGACTAGAATTATATTTCTTTGGCTCTGTGTTCCATTACTTGAGCAAACAGTTAAAGAGTAATCATTTCATAGCAAGTTCAAATAAAAGCAGAGCAATATACAAGATCAAATACGATCGATACTTGAAGGTCATATATTGTAATGTGAAAGTGCCACTCTTTCTGCTGAATGTCTGCCAGCTGATGTAAGGCTTGGGAAGCATAAAAAAAAATTCTACTTTACAATTATCGACTTGTGATTGTTTAACAATTTCTTTCCACTTACAAATCACACCCTGGAAAGTGAAACAATGCACAAGAGCTTTTAGCAACTGGAAACTTAGTTGATTGCAACCCTTTTGGAACTGTGAATTCCATAGCTAGCTGTAATCAGCAACCTTTTAAAAGCCTCTTTTGTGCTTAAACAGGCTTCCTAGAGCCTACATCTGTCATAATTGAGTTTCTGAAGTCTATCTAGCCCTCTTCATTTGCCTTCTCTCTTCATATTCAGAAGAGAATAAAAGTTTATTAAAAGACAAGATGAATAGGGAGAAATCACAATATGAAGCACTGGGAGCAAATTCAATTTTTTTCTAAAACGTGCGCCGACATTTGAGTTTTCTGTGTTCTGTCCTTCATTCCAGCTGCTGGTAGGGATCATCCAGGCTGCCGAACTGCCTGCCCTGGACATGGGTGGCACATCTGACCCCTACGTGAAGGTCTTCCTGCTGCCCGATAAAAAGAAGAAGTTTGAGACCAAGGTCCACCGAAAGACTCTTAACCCTGTCTTCAATGAGCAATTTACTTTCAAGGTAAACTTTTTAAAATTACTCATAATTTTCTTTGTTGCATTAGATAAAAGGCTGGTCCCATCTTGACAAATACATATGCAAGCACCATGAACACTTAAAGAATCAGCCAATATTGTTCAGAAGAGTTTAAATTTATGATTAGTTTAATAATGATTCTGTGTAGCCTCCAAGTGTATGTCAGCTCTGGTATTGCAGAATTGAGTATTGACTGAGCTGTCAATGTCACATCTGAAAAGTAAGGTCTGTTTGCAAATGTTCCAGTAGGCTTAACCCCTTCCTCCCCTATAGTAATCCCCCAAAAATGCAGCCATTATTTTCTTGAGTGTGAAATTTCCTGAAAATAGGTAAATTTTGTATCAATCACAAAAGAAGACAAGCTATATTCCAGTACTTAAATTGTAACAATTTCTGCATATATGCAGGGCCAATCTTATAAAAACCATTCTAAAACCACTCTAAAAACTATTCTTCCTAGCATCAATAGAAAAGAACATGAACACTTCGTTTTTCTACATTTCTAGCATAATTGTTCTACTTTGGGCTCTTCTGTGATATTTATCATCTTGAAACACTCCATTTGCAGATAAGGACCAGGAAGAATCCTGGCTCTGTCTTAATCAGGAACACATGCTCTGTAGGACTCAAAGATCTTTGTAGCTCTTGGCTTAAAGTCCTTCTTAAAAATAATTCTTTGATGCAAATCTTTTGTATACAGGATGCATTCATGAACTATTTAGGACAATGCATTTCTCAAAAATTAAATGTCTGAGAATATATCATAAGGTTGAATCAAAATCACCCTTTCCAGGCAGGTTTTTTGACCCAGAGGATTTTAGGCAATTCTTTGGAATGCCCTTGTCCAATATGAGAGTACAGATTGCAATCCCAGGCCCTCCACTTTGGATAGCTTCCTATTGCGGCATCCTGGCTCCAGTGACTTTCCTATAGGAGAGCTGGATAGAATCCCAGGCTCTTGGCTACAGGCCAGCATGGCCTTATTAAGGAATGACCCATTTGATATAAGGTTGCTCTCTCACTCTCCATCTCCTACTTTTTTCAAGTGGATGAAAATAAATAACATTTAAAAAATACCCCAGAGCCTAGCAGGAGCATTTTTCTCATGCTGACAAACCTTCTACTTTGAAACAAATTGATGAAACTGACGATATGAGTCATGTTCCAAAACCTCGTTTTCACTTTTGTAAAGTGGCTCTGTCCTCACGTAAAAATTTTTGGTTTTCAAGATAAAAGTCACTAATGTATCTAACTTCCTGACATCACAAAGCTAATTTACAGTATCAGTCAAAACTCCATAGAAACACCCAGCTTATGAAAAGCCAACAACTGAGATAATGGGGAAAAAAAGTTTCAAAGGTAGCAGATGGTCACAATCATCTTAGTTTCAATTTAGGTCAGAAATGTCTAACCAGAGTTTAATAAGTTGCTTACAAAGTTATTGGAAATAAAGTTATGGTGACTCTTGTTTAAACCATGCACTGCTGATTTAATTAGTAGTACTGTGACTAAGAACACAATAACTAAAATTGAAAAATTGTCTAGTCGCCCTTATGTTCCATTTTAGTTTGGAAATGTTGATCAAATATAAAGAAACCCCAAATAAAACATATTCTGATAGTTAAGAAACTGGTCAATTTTTCAGAGAACTAAAGTTTTCCAGTAAACATTGTGGATTATGCAAGTTTCCAAGAGACAATGTCAAAACTAAAATTCAAGATAGTTTAAAGAGGATTGGCTTAAGAGTTTAAATCACATGGACTCAACATGTCCCAAATTAATCCCCCAAAGAAATGAATAATCATTTAATACCAAGTAGCTCCTAGATGTCCACTCCGGGCACAGGCACTCGTTTGTCTTCACAGTGCTCCCATCTTCATCTGAGAAGTGATGAAGCTGTTATTTAACCATCTGTTTTATTCACTGGGAAACTCAAGGCCAAGTTTTAACTTTTGCTATTTCTGTACAATAATTTTAAAAAAAGGTAGAGAGACTTGAGAAACATGATGAAACTTTCAAGAATTTTATCTATCCCTAATCTAGCGTTTTGTATTTCTTCCTTTGAGATTCAACTCTTCAAAAGTTTTCACTTCCAAATCCTCCTAAAATGGAAGAAGTATTATGCCTAGTATTTAATTATGGTATTCTATGTAAAAATCAGAATCTAAACAAATAACAATGACAGAAAATAAAAACCTTAAAAGAACTACTTCCTGTAAACTCATAACCAAATAGTCCTTATTAGAGTCAGTAGAGAAATATTTGCCAAAGCAGACGACAAGCACTTACCCCGGTAAAATAGGAAGTATGTGAAAATTGATCAAGCCATTGACACTGGTCTACACAACTTCTTAATTAAACTTTGTTACCTACTTTCTGAAGTATAGCTTATTTGGATTGCACAACTGTCCTTGAATACTAAAAATGTCACTAGTAAACTTCCAGTGCAAAGCATCTATTCAGATACATTTGAACAGCTGGAAGATCCTTTCACACCTGGCCCTTTGCCATGGTTCATCCTAAAGAGTGGCATACCTAAAACTTACTTCAAACTTCTGTTATGATTTATATCAGACACTCAAAACATCAATTTTCTCATCCATTCCTGCCAATCAGTAAATTACTTGGGGGAGTAAATGAAGCATCTGATGAATTTCATTTAACTTCAGTCAGACATCTAGCATACTTCTTAATAAACTGCTGCTCCATTAGACCGTGGCATTCAAATCGCCTCAAAGAGTTAATGGAACTTTTGAAACAAGCTAACTCCCCTGAAAATTTCAGTCTCACCATAAAACTGATGACTGCAAGTATTCAGGAAGTAAAAAATGTACCCAGTCCAGTGCAAGCTGTTTATTTATTCTTTCATGAATTGTGAAGTGTTTATAGCATAACTAATAGAACTCATTATTAATAATACTGAGAGCTTCTAAAATTTGAGGGGCAAAGCGATAAATCACTATGGCAGGTTCCCATTTTCTCCTGAATAATGTGCATTTTAAGCAGAAATCCAAAGAATCAATGGGGGGGATGGGGAAAAGACCTGAAATTATCTTCATTTTGTGTATCCAACATAAAAACTTAAATAATGGATTTTAAACATTCTTGTGACTGGACATTATATCTTCAACTCTTTATTTAGGTGCCCTATTCGGAGCTGGGTGGCAAGACTCTGGTGATGGCTGTCTATGATTTTGATCGTTTCTCCAAGCATGACATCATTGGAGAATTTAAAGTCCCCATGAATACTGTGGATTTTGGCCATGTGACTGAGGAATGGCGCGATCTGCAAAGTGCTGAAAAGGAAGAGGTGAGAAAATTATTAGCATTTCTAATACGACAAGCTGTACTCGCCAGTTGCTGCACATAGAATAACCTGTTGAGGGATGTGCCTTACCAAGGGCCTCTAGCTATTGACAGCAAGCAAAACAGGCTCAGGGGGACTGCATGACCTCCTTAGAAAGTTTACAACTCTTAGGGGTGTTATTTGAAAGCAAAGAGGAATGATTCATGCTCACGGTCTATAAACATCTCTGGACGAAGACACATACACTCCCAAGCTGTTTCTAAAAGCTTCCCAAATGCCACATACACATTAATTGTTTCAAAGGACAGTAAAGAGACTGTTACTCATCCTATGATTCAATAATGTAGTATTTTCTACATAGGTTACATAGCTATTATGTAGAAATAAAATGGCACTTTTTCTATGATTATTATCCAGTGTATTGCAGGCAGTTCATTGTTTGTACAGAAGATAACAGAAAATGATGAGTGAAGCATCAAATAGAATTCACAAAAGGCAGATATTAAATCCATTTTTTAAATGAGTCACATTTTTACAATATTCTTCATTGTTTTTGCCCTGGTTTTAATAGTTTAGCCCAGCCTTTCTTTGTGATTTAAAAAGGGAAGTTCAATATCCTTAGTGCATTTAAGCTACATAATAATCAATTCTATTTGATTATGCTGTGCCTGCCTGGCACTGGCATTTTTCTGTGTGAATGTCTCAGCAGGCCCATACCAGAAAAGCAAACAAGTCTGAGCTTTTTGAATTCGTAGAGCAACTCTTTTTTTCCATCCACTGGTTGAGTCCCAACATGTAGCTCTAATTACCCAAGGGACTGCAAACAGCCTCATTTATTCATGATCCCTGGGTTTCTGTAAGATATGGTCACTTTGAGCCTCTAAGGAGATAGAGAATGACCCAAGGCTTCAGAACAACTCAACCAAGACCATTATCTGTAATTCTTTTCAGGTTGAGGTGTTCTGTAACCAGTCTGAATTTGCTAACTTTATGCTCCCACTATAATGAATAAGCACTTAGGAAAGATTTGTTGATCTGCCACACTGAAAGTGGATTTGTGCCCTATAATTGCTTGGTGACTATTTGAAAAACTATTTGAGGAACCTCTGTTTCCTATGCTGAAGGATATGGAGGTATATAGATATGTGTGTATATACTTACTCTATATGAAAATATGTATTGTAAATAACCATAGTCCTGAAATTCATTTTTTGTAAGCAAAAAGTGTAGGCACTTCTACTTGCTCGATGTTTGGTGTCATCTCATCTACTTCCCTAACTACAGCTTGCTTATTGCCAACAAAACTATTTTCTGAGTAAGTTCATATCATTTTTTAGCCCTGATATCTTGGATAAACTAGGAAGTGCTCTAACATTATATGTCCCTTATCTTACTTATAGAATTGGATACATGTAAAATGCTCAGTCTGTGAGAGATTCCTTGTGTTTCATTGTTGGTCAGTTCTTTCTGTGTTTTCAGGCTCTTCTCTGCTCTATACTTCTACCCATATCTACCTAGTTATTCTTTTTTTATCACAGTTTATGATTATTGAATGCTGCTGGAAGTTTTTAAAGGAAGCTAATAATTGCATCAATACAATTTTTATTGAAAAGGCAGACTGACAGAGAGAAGAGACACATGGCCAGAGCTGAGCCAATCCAAAGCCAGTACTCTTAAAGCTCTCCCACGTGGGTGCAGGGTCCCAAGGACTTGGGCCATCCTGCTCTATTTTTCCAGGCGATAAGCAGGGAGATGGATTGGAAGTGGAGCAGCTGGTTGTCTGTGCCAGCGTGGAGAGGATTAGCCTAGTGAGCTGCAGCACCACCATTACAATTGTAAAAATATAGACTCACCCTTTTAGTTTGCAGTTGAGTGGGTAGTTCCCTTATCAGAAAGTAGGAAAACACATAAAACATAGCTCTAGCTTACAAAGCATCTATGGATGACTAGATCCAGGTACAGACTTTCTCATCATGAAAGTAGTAAGAGTCAAATTGCATTGATACCTTACTGGTACTTATTTTCAATGATATATGCTCTGTCTTTCCATGCTACTGCCCAGTAACTGCAGAAAATCGTGATTATGTGAACCATTTGAGGTGTCAGGCTGATGTAAAGGTCTCATGATTTTAAAGAAATAACTTCCATACTTTATAAGCAATATCATTCATAACAGATTTCTGTTCACCTAACAGTATTACATATTGCTGTTAGCATAACAAAGTGAAGGATGAGGAAAGTGAGAAAATTTAATAAATGCTTTGGAATCTAGAAATGGAGCTATGTAGGTGGTTGCCTCAGGTGAATAAATCAGGCTCACAGAATCCAAACTCAGGATTATTTTAATAGAATGGGATAAAATTTATCATATTAATATGATATTACTACACAAGAACAACAGAATCTGTTTAGACCATAAATACATCTCTAAAACTGACCCTTTGATAAGTTTATTCAATTAAAGGATTGCATTTAATTTTAGTGATTAACATGGAAAGATTAATTTGTGACTGATTAATTTGGAAAGAATGTGTGGATAGAGTAAGAGCCTAATTCTAAACATATACTTAAAGAGGGGGGGAATGCAAGAAAAAAAAAGCTAGCGGTGACAGGAAAATCAAAATACTGTTAGTTTCTGGCCCTACAGAAAGAATTGATTTCCATTTGGCTTGAACTTTCCCTCAAATTAGCATATTCAAACCCCCATTAAAATTTAGTTTCCCATGTTTTAATGTTGTGTGACTGACTACCTCCTCCATCTACCTACAATTAAAAAGGAGACAACTTAATCTTTTTCTTACTATCATGTTTTGAAAACAGAAATATGTATGTTCTGCCATGGAAAATGGTTACTACAAAACTTTGTTTCCTTGAGGCTTTACATGACCTCACAGTATCCTTTTCTCAGCATTTGACCTCAAAATGTTGTGCAGTTATCAATGCTCTATTAGCAAAAGGCTTCCAATACAAATAGCTGCTGAATGCCCATGCTGAACTTTTTAGAGTAAGTCATTCATTTAATATTTTACTTAAAGTATTTTAAAAATGTTACGATCAACAACCCTAACCTCATTTTTATCTTCTTCTAAATTTGTCACTGCTATAAAAATCACCACAGCTCTGTTTCCCAGTATCAGGTACATCATCACAGGATACACACCTTTTTTTTTTATTTTAGCACTTTGTTCCCTTTGCAAACTTAGTTTTTCATCATCATGCCTTCCTCTGCTGTAGTCTCAAACAAAAAGTATGAAAATAGATACCACCAGAAAGTAACAAACTTGTACTTTTAGCAAACTGCCCTATTTTGTTACAAGTTCTCACAACTTGCCTGCTACTATTTGGTCTACTTTTGAGAGTAAGTCTATCACCAATACCTTGTGTAGAATTTATTACACAGTGATTTTTAAATGAGATTCTGTAATCTGGTGCAAATGGAAAAAAATTGATTGCTGAATTAAAGCAAGTTGGGACATAAGTTAATTAGTATCCAAGCAGAAGGATAGAGAACTACTTTAGTGCCTTAATGGAAAATCAATTTTCCAAGAAAATTTCACATTTTTAAGCCTAATTAGAAAAAACATTTACTCTACAGGAAAGCATTTGGAGAATACATATTCAATCAAATGACTAAAGCTTTTTTAGTTTCCAATAGTCAACTACACGTTTCTTGGAATGGGTTAAAGTCATTATTTTTGAGCACGTTTGATGCCCAAGAATTGTGAGAACTGGTGCCATTTCTAAACGCATTTCGTGGTCAGATGGTAACTGATGCTCTACAAAAATCTCCACCCAGCACATCAAAGCCTTTACAGGATCATTGTAAAAGGTTAATTGCTGGGAAATTAACCATGGATGTGACACAATTTTCTTTGCCACTCATAACCTATCAGATTTGAGAAGTGTGAAGACATTGATCTGCATCATAGCATTTCAGGAAGGTATGTTTTGTTTTTTGGTTCATTGTCTCTGTCCTCAAACAGTGAGCTCTATCCAAGGCATATCTGTTATTCCCCACTACGATCATAGTAGTTAACTTTAAATGAATGGGAGAGTTGTTACTTACACTGTCAGAAATACTTACAACCCCATTTGAAAGTCCAGCATGATGTAAATCATGGTCTTAGTTTACAAATGAGGTTCAAAGTATTCTGACAACCCATGAAGAGAATGTCCTAGGACTAGACACTGAAAACAGCCTTTACTTCTTGGATATATGTTACTGGTTCTAAAATGGAAATGGCTCTTCTAGCTTTCTTTGATAAAGGCTTGGTGAGTCTTTCTTCTCTGCAATAGTATCTTCATTCTGTATCCATGACACTATGGGTTAGCTTAAGTTAACTTTTATTTAAAGACTTAGCTATATCTATGGTATAACTCTGTGTTCAACATGAAAAGCACATCAGAGGAAAATGTAAAAGAGTTATGTGAAGAATAAAGTGTAAGTTTATCATGAAATTGTTACTATAAATCTAAGCATACACTTAAAATCAACTGATCTACACTTCTGTAGTAGCTTTAGGAGAAATTATTATATTAGTATTTAGTTATGCCGATCATAATGCACTTTTCACTGTATGACTTGGTCCATAGCTGTGGTTTACGTGGTTCTGATTCCATGGTCAGCATCCTAATCACCAATTACAACTGTATTACAATGTTCCTCAATTTATGATGTCATTTCTAAGAACATTACAGGGAAAAGCAGGTGCCTTGAACTATAAGTTGCATAGGAGTATATTTGGCTCACTTTCTACACACTTATTACTTAATCTTTTATTGTGAATTATTTACAACAGTGAGGTAAGTTAGATTCTACAGCAAGGGGAAATCCAAGGCCTATTCATAATGTCATTTTCCTTCACAGGTAAAGGACTTTCTTCTTTCTCTTCCTGTGTCCCCTGTCTCTCTCCTCACTCTCTTAAAAGAAATAACTAAGTCCATAAAAATATTTAGGGAGGTGGGTATAGGTTTGAGAGCTAGAGAGATTCAAAGAGCTGTGT